ATTTAATGCATGAAATAACCCTGAAGAGGCCCAGCTGCTTTTTTTTTTAATAAAAGAATTATTTATGGGGCCAATAATATGGCATAGCTGGTAAAGCTACCGTTTGCAGTGCCCCAAATCCCATACAAATGCCAGTTCAAGTCCAGGCTGCTCCACTTCCAATCCAGCTCCCTGCTAATGTGCCTGGGCAAGCAGCAGCAGAAGGCCCACCCACTCCACTTATGGAGTAAGCCAGCAGAGGAAAGATCTTTCTTTTTCTTTCTCCCTTTCTGTAACTCTGTCATTCAAATAAATATGTATTTTCTAAACTATTGTTCATTTGAAAGGCAGAGTTACATAGAAAGGAGAGAGAGGGGGGTAAAAAATCTTTCATCCACTAGCTAACTCCCCAAATGACCCCAATGGTGCCGAGACAGGTTGAAGCCAAAACCTTCATCCAGGTTTCCCATGTGGGAAGCAGTGACCAACCCTTGGTCTGCCTTCCGCTGCCAGGCCTCAAATGTGGCCCACAGGCATACCAAATGCCAAGCCCCAGACAGCTCAGATTTAGTTGTTATGACCAAACCAGCACCCTTGGTTTCTCTACCCCTAATCTGTCGTGTTCTTAGATTTCTCTGTCCCAGTAAATGGCATCTCATGGTCTGGGGCCAATCCTTGCGTTACCCTTTTAAACTCTCTTCCCGTATATATTAGCTGCCAGTGACGGTTATAAGCAGTTACCATAAACAGGAGCCAGGGCCTGGTGAGACTGTCTGCTGGCCAAGGGCTCTGCTGTGACCGGTGCACACGTTCCTTCCGGGGCCTTGTACAGGGCGGCTCCATCGCCAAGCTCCTCCCCACGTCTTTACGTCACACCCCTGCCGTGTCCTCCGCGTCGCTCTTACGGCAACCAGCCGCGCCTTTGGCTGTTTCTTTGCTCACTGTATTTCCCAACAGAGAGAAAGCTCCTTCAGGGCAGCCGCTAGGTCTGCTCCAAGCATTTAGAACAGAACCTAGCACAGAGCAAATATTCAATGAAGGAAGGAATGGATGAGTGAATGAAAATGACACTGCAATGAAACTCTGCATCAGGCCACACCAGTAGGTTATGCTGCAGTGATAAGCAACCAAAAACTAGAGGCTTACCTCACCCTTTGTGTTACCCACTGTGTTCAGCCCAGGAGAGCCCTTGATTTCCTGGGGACTCATGCTGACGTAGCAGTCACCATCCCACATGACATAGGAGAAGAAACAGCTCTAAGGGGCTCATGCCAATAAGCAGGTGTATTGCCCAGAAATTATTTGAAGGGCAGAGTTGCAAAGAAAGAAGGAAAGACAAGGAAACTTCCATCCCTTGGTTCACTCCCCAAAATGGCTGCAACAGTCAGGACTTGGTTACGTCAAAGCTGCGAGCCCAAAGCTTCTTCTGGGTCTCCCACATGGGTGCAGGGACCCACAGCACTGAGCCACCCTCTGCTGCTTTCCCAGGCCACCAGCACAGAGCTGGACCAGAAGCAGAGCAACCAAAACTCTAACCGGGGGCCCAGTGCGGTGGCGCAAGTGGTTAAGGTCCTCGCCTTGCACGCCCGGGATCCCATATGGGCGCCGGTTCTATCCCTGACAGCCCCGCTCCCCTTCCAGCTCCCTGCCTGCTTGTGGCCTGGGAAAGCAGTCGAGGACGGCCCAAAGCCTTGGGACCCTGCACCCACGTGGGAGACCCAGAAGAGGCTCCTGGCTTCGGATCGGCATAGCATTGGCCGTTGCGCTCACTTGGGGAGTGAATCATTGGACGGAAGATCTTCCTCTCTGTCTCTCCTGTCTGTATATCCGCCTTTCCAATAAAAAAAAAATAATAAAAATAAATCTTTAAAAAAAAAACTCTAACCGGCACTCATATGCAATGCCAGCGCTGCAGGTGGAGGCTTAGCCTGCTGTAACACAATGCCAGCCCCTAGGATCGCCATTTTCCTGGTGAGTCCTGGTGCGGAGTACATGTCTTCGTCACCCAAGAAAATGCGATTGAACAGCCACACAGAATGTGCAACTTGCCACGACAATGAGCAATGCATGACCTGGAGATTCCTCACATGGCTTTGCCTGTGCAACTCCAGCATTTTCATTCTTTAGGAAAAACAAATCCTTCACATATTAGAAATCAAAATCTCTACACAGACAAACCCTGGCTGCTCTTGTAGGGGAAATCCTGAGTAAGGAAATACAGCTGAGCAGAAATGGCAAAAGAGAGGAACGTAGTCACACTCACTCATCTAACAAATATGGGGCACTGCCCAGAGCTCGCGGAAAATGGAATCCATCCACACGTTTATTAGGCACCACACCTTTTTAAAGGCATCATGTGTGATGCCATAAACTTTCTGAAGCCGCCTGGTGTGTCTGGCTTTCAGGCCAGACCTGGGATGCGGCAGGGAGCGGCCAGACACATTCCCCGTGCGAATGGAGCTGGGGGTCAGCCCCCCGCCGTGCTGCGTGCACGGTTCTCTGCACTGGCAATGGCTCGAAGGCAGATTCCGAGCCTCGCTCATCTCTGAACCTCCATTTTACACAGGAGCACCTGCATCATGTTCTTCAAGTTCTGTGTGCTAAATCAGCGCACTGATGCTGTAGGTGAAAACTACAGGCCTGGCTGACTCCAAGGCAGGCAGGCATCCAGCTGCCGAGATGGGAGCAGTGTTGGGTCCCCAGCAGCCGGGAGTCCCCAGGTTAAGTGCCTCACTCTAGAGGGCCGTCCCTGGCTGTGCTAAATTCCAGAGTATGGTTTCTGAAAACAGCCCATCGTCTGTCTCATCTTCCTTCCTGCAGACAAATGTAAAATAAAGTGGCAGAGCTGAGTCGGCTCTCCCACTTCACAACTCTTCCAGGGTCCAGCCAGTGGCATCTTTGAACCCTCCTGCTAACGAAGGACACCTCAACGGGAAAATAAACAGGAATTTCAGCCCAGCTCTGCTTTTCCTCTGAATCGTTGCCTGCAGGGGAGCCTGCGCACACTCCCCCTGGAAGTTTCCTTTGCACAGCACCCCCAAGGGGAGACCTGACCGGCTGGTACTGCCTCCTCCCCCACTCTCCCTCCCACTCTCTCCTTATCTCTGGTGTCAGAGAAGAATGCAAGCTGGAAGCCTGCACATTCCTTCCTCAGAACCCCGGGGGGGCTCTCTGCAGAGCATCTGGTGCACCCCGACCCCCAGGAGCTACCACGTAAGCTCTCACCCGGACCAGCACCTGCCCTGACCTAGGCTGCCCAAAGGTGAGCAGAACCTGATTGGACTGCAGTGGAAGGAGCCTACACCAGAGTGTTTGCTCTCCGAGTTACAGCACTGGGATGGGATAGCAGGGGTCAAAACCCAAGGAAATCTTCGCAACAGCCTGGCCTCACTTGCTCACACCTGGAGTGAGATGTGGGCACTGCATAAATGAGCCCATTGCCTGGAGGGAAGCAGTGAGGATCGGCTCCCGCTTCCTTCTCACAGGGCGGTCGGGAACCATGTGACATTAGACTGTCCAATGCCCCTTACCGAGGGTCGGCTTTGTTTGAAAGGTAGAATGACAGAAAGTGGAAGAGAGAAGCCATCCGTTGGCTTACTACCCAGTTGGCCCAGTGACCCATGCTGGTTCAGCCTGAAGCCAGAAGCCTGAGGTACCCACCCAGGTGACAGGGATCCAAGTACTTGGGTCGTCATCTGCTGTTTCCAGGCACAAATCAGTACCGCGAGTTTTGAATGTTGCCACTGCAGTCCATGTCTTAACCATGTCTTAACATGTCTTAACAAGGCCAGTCCCACAAGACAAGTTCTAAAGTCCCTTCCTTCTGGGGCCAGTGTTGGGGCACGGCACGTTAAGCCACTGCCTGTGAAACTGGCATCCCATATGGTGCCAGCTCAAGTCCCAGCTGCTCCACTCCTAAACCAGCTCCTTGCTAATGCAACTGGGAAAGCAGCAGAAGACGGCGCAAATGCCTGAACCCCTGTACCCACAAGGAGACCCTGCCTCCATCCTTATACCTTCTAAATGCAGGGATATCACCTGGTTCACAAATTTCAGGCGGTAAGTGAATTTCATTTTTACCATTTTGAGTCCTGCCCCCCTTCTTTGGCACCACAGGGGGCTTTCACCATTCCCCAGGTGCTTGCAGACAGTTCTCCCAAAGAGTGAACTCTGCCCTGGGCACAGTAGCCCCTAACGGGAATGACGTGATGCAGTGCTCAGACAGAAATCCTAGGTGTTAGGAGCGATGAAGACAGCGGACAGCCAAGAGCAAAGCCCCCCAAGTGGAGGTGCGTGCTGCAGGCAGATCTGGGCGGGGAAGAGGGGAGGAGGGGCCTCGGGCTGCCCAGGGATGTGGCAGGGGAGGGGCAGCTGGGAAGCAGGCCTCTCTGAAGCCCAGAGCTGAGCTGCTGCCTCCGCCAGCGGTTCTAGAATCCCACAGTCAGAGCCTGAGGACTACGGAGGGGCATCCAGGCCTCCGCGAGCCAACAGGACCCTGTCGGGTGAGTAGGGTACATTGCCAGATGCCAGGGCTGCTGGCCCCAACTCCAGGGCCCTTCCCATCACCTGGACCCCGATGAACCTCCCTGCAGGGCCTGGGTGACTGCTGGGAGATCTGAAGATGAGCGTGGGGGCAGTAAGAGAGCGGAGGGGGGGGAAGCTGATGACCTCTGCCTGAGCCTGGGTGAAAGCAGCCATTCCGTTCGCAGGCAAAACCACCGCGGCCGGATCCTCCCGGTGGCAGGGATCGTGGCTTTTGTTGGAAGCCACGTGGGACAGGGCCTCCCAGCTTCCTAGGGGTTTCTTTCTGCTCCTAAAGCCAACCTTGAGAGCTCCACTCCCTAAACCTCCCCCCCCCCCCCAAAAAAAAAAACCTTGCAAGCCAGAACTCTCCACGGCTGGGTGGTTCCAAAGGGGCAAAATCACATCCTGGACCTACACCCATCCTCCCTCCTTGAGCTGCAGGTGGAGGGGAGTTGGCCCACTCAACCCTGCCTTCGGAGGTTTCCTGCCCGCCCCTCTCCAGCTGTGCACCATGTGGCACGCCCTGCTGCTGCTACTGCTGTTGCCGCCATCCACGGTGCTGCGCCCAGGCCGGGCAGAGACTTCCCAGCGCATGGTCCCGATCTTCTGGCTCACTCATCAGGGTCCCGGGGCGAGCGCGAGCAGCAGCACCACCAGCTCGCCCTGCGAGGTAATTCCCGCCGCTGCGACCACAGATTTAAACCTGGCGAACCGCAGCCTGGAGCTCTTGCCCAGCTGCCTGCCGCCTGCGCTGCGCAGCCTCGACGGCAGCCACAACCTGCTGCGCGCCCTGAGCGCGCCGGAGTTGGGCCACTTGCGGCAGCTGCAGGTGCTCACGCTGCACCACAACGACATCGCGACACTGCGCTGGGGGCCCGGTGGGCCGGCGGCGCTGCACACGCTGGACCTCAGCTACAACCGCCTGGCCGCTTTGCCGCGGTGCGACGCGCCGGAGCTGCCCAGTCTCCGTGCGCTACAGCTTTCCGGGAACCCGCTGCAGGCGTTGCAGCCACAGGCCTTTGCGTGCGTGCCTGAGCTGCGGCTACTCAACCTCTCCTCCACGGCGCTGGGCCGCGGGGCGTCGTCGGCCTTCTCCCAGGGGGCGTTTGTGGGGACGGCCGGCACACCCCTGGCCATAGAGGTCCTGGATCTGAGCGACACCTTCCTGGAGCGTGGTGAGTCCCGGGGTCCGGGTTGGGTTCTTCCAGGGCGTGACCGGACATGTGGCTCACAATGAGATTCCCGGATAACGTCCCCTCCACTTCCCTAGTAAACGGGCGGGATGGAAGGCCCCCCACGGCACTTAAATCTTCCTCCTATCACCATTTTGCCTAGGAGGGAGCCAGACACCGAAAGGTGAAAGATTTGCCAGGAGCCTTCCAGGTGCTTGGGCGCTGAATGCCTCCCAACCTGACTGCAGGCGGTTCCGGGTCCAGATCGCATCCCCCCCCACCCCAAAACTAGCCACTGTGTCTGCCACTGCCCTCCAGAGCTGGAAAAATATTTGTAGAAGGGAGGAGCAAGTCCGTGACTTTGGAAACGACTACTGTGTGAACTGGCTCCAAACCGGCAGTTAGCGGTACAGGCATAACAGGTGCTCCCCAAGATGAATCCCTGGATGTGTCTGCTCTGTGGGCTGCAGTGGTTTCTGTTTGACCAATCATTCAGGCGAGGCACGGGAGAGGAGGTGCAACTGAAGAAGACTTGGGTAGCAGCCCATTGGATACAGTGTCCTGCAATAAAGGCAGATTCTGGCCCTCTCCAGCAGTGTGACCTTGGCCAGTCGTTCCTGACCTTGGCTTTGGTTGCCTAGGGCAGAAAGAGAAGGACTGGTCCCCTGCCCCGTGTTCCCCCCCCCCCCCCGGTTGAAACAGCTGAACTCTCTGGAATCCGCAAGTCCACGGCCACTGAGCTGGAGCTTGGCGATGACCTTCCCCGAGACTGTCTGAGATCTTCTCTGGTGCTGTGCTGCCCCGTTTCCCCACCCCGTCCCCGGGTTTGTGCCTTGCTGGACAGTAGACAGGTGCCCTGTGTGTTTCAGTGGACTCGGGCTGGATGCAAGACCTGCCAAATCTCACACACCTCTACCTGAGACGGATGCCCAGGCTGAGGACCCTGGAGGGGGACATCTTCAAGATGACGCCGCACCTGCAGCACCTGGACTGCCAGGATTCCCCGGCACTTGCTTCGGTCCACACGGCCATCTTTGAAGACACTCCTCGGCTCCAGCATCTCCTGCTGCAGAAGTGAGTGCTTCCCAGATGCGTCTCCATCACACACCACCAGCTTTCATGCTGTGCTGCATTTTCCGGAAGGTTCTTGACCTTAACTTTTCTCCCCTGGTCTCTCAAATCCTCTGTGGGATTTTTGCTCTTCCTCACCCCCTGGGTGTTATCTCAAGAAGGTTCCAGAGGGTGCAGCCACCTTGAGAACCATGCAGCTCCTACAGGCTGCTATCAGGTGAAAATCATTAACTCCTCTGAACAGTTTTCCTGAACTGGTATATGTGCAATAGAAGGGAGTAAGCTGGGATGAGAACTTCAACTATCTGTCTGGACCCACCTGCCTCCCCAGGTTCTCCAAGTTCAGTGCTCTGTAGGGTTTGGGCAGGTCCAAGATGCCAAGATGTAGTGAGGAAGGCTGAGATGGGACCTGGGGTTAGTGCCCCCTGGCCTGGTGGGTGTCCAGTGTGTTCCTATACCAATTCCTTTATGTTAAGGTTTGTTTATATGTAAAGCAGATTAGGAGAGAGACAGAGAGAATATCTTCCAGCTGTTGCTTTGTTTCCAAAATGGCCACAACATCTGGGGCTGGTCCAGACCAAAGCCAGGAACCTGGAACTCTGGATCTCCCGCGAGGATGACAGAGGCCCGACACTTAGCCATCCTCCACTGCTTTCTCAGGCACATTAGCCGGGAGCTGGCTCTGAAGTGGAGCAGCCAGGACTTTCCCCGGAGGATGATATTGACTGATTTGATTAGGAAAGTAGTAAGCCCACAGTCATTGGGGCTTTTACTGAGTCAGTTCCATGTCATTTCTAATTGTTTATCACTGACACCCTGTCTGTGGGCTGGTAAAGCCTGATTTCATTGTTGTGTGTGTGTGTGTGTATTTCAGCTGCAACCTGACTTCCTGGCCGCCTTGGACCCTACATTCCTCCCAGGTCCTGTCCATCAGCCTCTTTGGCAACCCCCTCACATGCAGTTGTGAGTTGTCATGGCTCCTCTTGGATACTAGCAGAACCGTTCTCAGCAGGTAATCCAGCAGATGGCGGGGAAGGAGGGAGCGGCGAGGGCCAGCCTGCAGGAATTGCACCTCTCCCTCCTTAGCTCTTGCCTCGGCCACTGTATGTGGGCAGGGCGGCCCTCCCCTACATGGTCACTCGGTCACTGCCTCCATTCCCACCAGAAGGGCAAGAGTCACAGAGCAGAACTGGAACTGTTTCTTTTAAGATTTATTTGTTTTTATTGCAAAGTCAGATATACAGAGAGGAGGGGAGACAGAGAGGAAGATCTTCTGTCCATTGTTTCACTCCCCAAGTGACTGCAATGGCCAGAGCTGAACAAATCTGAAGCCAGGAGTCAGGAGCTGCCTCCAGGTCTCCCACACAGGGACAAGGTCCCAAGGCTTTGGGCAGTCCTCGACTGCTTTCCCAGGCCTCAAGCAGGGAGCTGTATGGAAAGTGGGGCTGCTGGGGTACAAACTGGAGCCCGTATGGGATCCCGGCATGCAAGGCAAGGACTTTAGTCCCTGGGCTACCACACCAGGCCCAGTTATTTCATTTCTTTAAATATGTATTTTGTTTATTTGAAAGGCATAGTTACAGAGATGGGATGTGGTAAGTCTTCCATTCATTGGTTGACTCCTCAAAGGGGCCAGGCTGAAGCCAGGAGCCAGGACTCTTTTTTGGGTCTCCCACATGGGTGCACTTGGCCCATGCTCCACCACCCTCACAGGTGCATTAGCAGGGAGCTGGACTGGAAGTGGGGCAGGCAGGACTCTATCCAGCATCCACATTGGATGCCAACTGTGCAGGCAGCAACCTGACTCGCTATGCCACAACACCAGCCCCTCAACATTATTTTAGAATATTGTATAATGTCACCTTCAGGTTTTGGGTGTGCGGTGTGTGTGAATTTTGTGTTTAGATTTGAGTCCGGCCCCATTTGAATCTGTGTATGTACAGATTCCCAAATTCAGAAACCTCTGAAGCACTTCTAGCCTCAAGCATTTCTGCTAAGAGAGACGCAGCCGCTGTCAGGGTGAAAGCGACTACTGGTGCTCATTGCCAGGAAGCAGACAGGTGGGAGGAAGCAGCAAACTTTGGCCTGCCTCCCACAGTGCTTGCCTGGGTTAGACTCCGCCCCTGGCTGGTCCTCCGGTCTGGGGCAGCTGGTTCCTCTTTCCAACTGTGCACCTCCTATGCCCAATGGGAGCCGCCTCCGGAGGTGTCCCTGGAGCCCGGTTCTAGAATGTGTAACAGGTGGTTCTGCGGAAGTATTTTGATGCTGCCTGGCGGGACGTGGTACCCGCGCTGAAGAGTCAGGTGCATTGCTGAAGCGGGACAGTTTCTAATTGCCGACTGCTTCTTCCCATCAGGGCAGCGGAAACCGTGTGTGCCCCTGCTGCGGGATCCAGCGGCCCCTTCTCGGCGACTGTCTCCCTCTTGCAGCTGCCCCGCGTGTGCCAGGCCGACCAAAACACCACCCGTGCTGCTCCAAATGCCCCCTTCTTTGGTGCCGCGCATACCGCATCCACACAGGGGCCCGACGCCGCCTCCAATCAGCCTACAGCGGGCCAGCGGAGCGTTACCAAAGCTCCCTCCCTCTCGGACACATCCAGATCCTCAGTGGGGTGCAGCCAGTACAGTGTGCCACCCAGGGCTGCCAGCACAGCCAGGAGCGAGCCCGGAAGAGAAGGGAGAGAGCCTCACACTCCCAGCTCTGCCACTGCCACTCCCCTGTCCAGTAACCCCCCAAGTCCTGTCCCTACTCTGCCAAGTTCCTGGGTCACGCCCCAGCCTCAGCAGAGGACACAGAGTGGCACCCGGGCTCCCCACCCGAGCCCTTCAGAGGGCAAGAACCCTGTCTTCCTGATGGGCGACTACAGTGATGAAGAGGAGGAGGAGGAGGAAGAGGAGGGCACGCTGGCGGAGGTGGGGGCGCCTGCCCCCGACGTCTTTTGCGATTACCATCCCTGCAGGCACCTGCAGACCCCGTGCGCCGAGCTGCAGAGGCGCTCGCGGTGCCGGTGTCCGGGCCTCAGCGGTGAAGACGTGGCCCCCGACCCGCCCCGGCTGCAGGCCGTGTCGGAGACGGCGGACACGTGGGCGCTGGTGCACTGGTGTGCCCCCACCTCGGTGGTGCGCACGTACCAGATCCGCTACTCCGTCGAGGGCCCAGCGGGGAACCAGTCGGTGGTGGCGGACATCCCCGCCACAGCGCGCCAGCACCTGCTGTACGGGCTCGCGCCGGCCACCACCTACCGCGTGTGCGTGCTGGCCGCCAACCGCGCGGGCCTGAGCAGGCTCCGGGCCGCAGCCCGCAGGAGCGCATGCACCGCCTTCAGCACCAGGCCCAGCACGGGGCTCGTCCTGGCAGGGCTGGGCGCTGTCAGCGGCCTGCTGCTCCTTTGTAACGTCGTGCTAGCCGCGTGCCTCTGCAGGCGGTGCAGGACCCCAGGTGCCCCGCAGCCTCCGGACACGCACCTGGTGGCCTATAGGAACCCGGTCTTTGACTCTCCGCTGAAGCTGCAGCCCCTCAATTAGCCCGGTTCCTCTCCTCCAAATGGAACCCGATGGAGCTGCGCGCGGGGACCGAGGCATCCAGGAGGGTACCCAAGCGCCCACGAGCTCATGAAGATTGTTCTCCACACAGAGGGACACTCGCCGCCCGTTCTGCTCTCATGTATGGCCAGAGACCTGCCGGGCCACGCCACAGCACTGATCGTCCCATGGCTGCGGGCAGCCTGGGTGGTGTGGTGCTTTGGGGTGCAATAATGTGAGCCCGGCTCAAATGTCAGGTAGACTGGAAGCAAGAAGCCATAGCACCCACAGAAGGCTGGGAACGCAGCCTCTCCTGTCACGTGGGTCAGCTCCCGTTATCCTCGTGGGAGTCTAAAGGCTGTTTCTGAGCTGGCATTTACAGCTTTCCCCCAGCGCTGGGACGACCAGGCAGCCATGGCTGACCCTCTGAAAGCTGTTTTCAACTGGAGCGGAGACCAGCCTGGACCCAAAGCTCTATCTAGAAGCTAAAGATCATCAAACAATACCTTTACCCTTTATGCTCCAGCAACCTGTGTGGAAGATACTTGTTAAAAACTTACATAGAACAAGAAGCCTGCCACTGATGGTGATTTTGAAAGAAATCTTTTGCTCACACAGAATTCAATTAACGGGGTGATGCCCTGTGTCTTGGTGTGGGATGTGTCTACAACACACTTTGCGTTTTCGCTTTTATCATGGTGTGGGGGGATGGACCCTGAGGTTGCTTCTAGGTTTCAGTTGTCTACATGAACGTTTGTTGATTTACTGTGGCTGCTACAACGAATTACAATAAACCTGGTGGCTTCAAGCAATGAAAATTTCTTTTCTTGGGGCCAGCACTGTAGCACAGAGCTGCTCTCTGAATCCCACGTGGCTACCAGTTTGATTCCCAGCTGCTCCACTTCTCATCCAGCTCCCTTCCAGTGGCCTGGGAAAGCAGTGGAGATGGCCCAAAGTCTTGGGACCCTGCACCCGTGTGGGAGACCTGGAAGGAGCTCCTGGTTCCTGCCTTCGGATCTGGATTGGCTCAGCTCTGGCTGTTGCAACCATCTGGGGAGTAAAGCAAGGATAAAAGATCTTTCTCTGTCTCTCCTCTCTGTAAATCTGTCTTTCCAATAGAAATAACATATTTTTAAATATAAAGAGATACTTATTTTTATTGGAAAGTCAAATTTACAGAGTGAAAGGGAAACACAGAGAAAGATCTTCCATCCACTGGTGCACTCCACAAGTAGCCGCAACAATCAGCACTGAGCCAATCCAAAGCCAGGACCCAGGAGCTTCTTCTGGGTCACCTGAGCAGCTACAGGATCCTAAGGCTTTGAGCCGTCCTCTGCTGCTTTCCCAGGTCGCAAGCAGGGGGCTGGATGGGAAGTGGAGCAGCAGGGATATGAACTGGCACCCATATGGGATGCCCAATGTGCAAAGCTAGGATTTTAGCCACTAGGCTACCAGGCCAGGCCCTATTTTGATTATTTTTTTAAAAAGATTTATCTTCGATGTTTACATAATTGAGGACACTTGCCACTGTGGAGCACTGATTAGGATGGGAAAGCTCAAGGACTATGGGAAAGTGGATGAGACCCTTGTTTCCATTTTTCTTTTTCTTCCTGTATCTGGGGGAAGGGGAAAAAGGGAGAAGCCACACCCAGCATCCCAATCACACAGCTACCCGATGTGATCCCAAGGTCCCCAGGGTGGAGCATGCGCCAAGGGTTCTGCTCAGGTGATGTCAATAGTTTGGAGATGCTGTTGATTTCATTGCTCCAGGGATGAGGAAATCCTTCTGAGGTCCATTGGCCGACACAGTCCATCTCAGCATCTCCACTCACCCAGATACTTGCTGTCAATCCTTGACTGGGAGCGCTGTCCGATTTGTTCTGCCTTCCATCCTCTGCTGTGGTACGAGATGTCCTCTGCAGGCCCCAATGGACTGCCATATCCTCCATGTGCCGCTGGGCATGCTGTCCACCACATGTCTTAGCAACTGAGACCCAGTTCTGACACGTGCACTCCAAGGTCAGACCACAGATCCTATGATGCTCCCCATGGTTGGAGTTCTGTCCAGTGGTTCAGTGGAGAGGGGGATGGTTTCCCAAAGAAACCTCGTCTGAAGTGACCGCAGACCTGACTCTTGTGTGTGCTAGCTGATGTGGGGGTCCTGCTCAGCCCATCACTTTCATCAGCCTTTTCACACACTGGTGATTTTAGTTGTTGGGTCAGTTCTGTCTCCAGTCCCATCTCTTATGCAAGCCATGGATGCTGCGGCCCAGCCATACCCTGCGCTCTACACACTTGGGCCTCACATACACCAGCAGGAACTGCAACCCAGTCAGAGCAACCCACAATCACCCCATCAGGGCCACCCCCAGCCCTGGTTTATGTGCAGCTGACTGGTCCAGTCTGTCCCATACTGCATCCAGCTTTTGGGACAGACTAGCTATGTGCTACAGATTAGCTCAGTCCAAATGACTGCACTATCCAGTCCACACTTAGCCTATAGGTGCTACCACCTATCTAATGAGGTCCACCCCCAGCCCTGGTTCTCATGCTCACCAGTGGGAATTGCAGCCCATCAGAGGGGTGCTCCAGTTTCCCCACTAGGCCCACTCCCAGATCTTACACTTTCCTGTTAGTCCTGCAGTTTAGCTTGACAGGACTTCCCTCCATTCCCAGTACTTGCTAGCTGACACTGTGGCAAGGCCCGACCACCAGCTTGCACTTACTCTGGCTCATGCAGGCACCAGTGGATATAGTTGCTTAGCCCAGCCTGGCTCTCCCCATAACCCAGCTCACAGGCAGGCTGACTGGTGGTGTAGCCTGCCTAGCATGGTCTGCTCTGGGTCCCAGTTCTCACAATCACCAGTAGGAGCAGTGGCCCAGCACAGGATCTCCCAACAGACCCCCATGTGGCCTGCCCATCAACACCTTCTCCCCAGGTCTTATGTGTGCTGGTGGGTGCTGCTGCCTGATCTGGCATGGCCCACCTGACCCTGGCATTTGCCAGTAGGTGCTGTAGCCTGGCCTGGCCCACCCCCAATCCTCCCAACCCTGGCCCCAATATGAATTGGCTGGTGTTGTAATCCAGCCTGTCCTGGTGCTCAGATCTGCCATGAGACCTGGAAGATTGGCTCAGCTCTGGCTGTTGCAACTATTTGGGGAATGAATCAAGGGTGAAAGATCTCCACTGGTTCACTCTCCAAGCGACTTCAATGGCGAAGGTTGAGCTGGTCTGAAGCCAGGAGCTTCCCCTAAGTCACCCATGAGGGCAGCGGGTCCAAGGACTTGGGTTATCCTCTGCTGCTCTCCCAGATCACAAGCAGGTATCTGGATGGGAAGTGGAGCAGCTGAGACTCAAACCCACAGGAGTTCGCTGGTAATGTGGTGTCTTTTCTTAAGAAAAGTGCTGATTTTCTTACAGTTCAGGCCAAAAACATACTTTTTTTTTTTATTGGAAAGGCGGATATACAGAGAGGAGAGACAGAGAGGAAGATCTTCCGTCTGATGATTCACTCCCCAAGTGAGCGCAACGACCGATCTGATCTATGTCGATCAGATCTATGTCTGATCTGAATCCAGGAGCCTCTTCCGGGTCTCCCACGCGGGTGCAGGGTCCCAAAGCTTTGGGCCGTCCTGGACTGCTTTCCCGGGCCACAGACAGGGAGCTGGAAGGGAAGTGGGGCCGCCGGGATAGAACCGGCGCCCATATGGGATCCCGGGCGTGCAAGGCGAGGACCTTAACCACTTGCGCCACCGCGCCGGGCCCCAAAAACATATACTTTCACAACACAGTGTGTAACAATCCGGTAGCCCCATGCTTCTTCCCCAAATAGTTCAATTTATCTGGTCAATAATGGTGACTTTGGTGCCTTTAAAACTTAACTTGAACACCAAAGAGCTATTTCTCATCCACTGTTTTACTATCTAAAGGCACGTCCCAGCCAGGACTGGGCCAGGATGAAGCCAGGCATCTGTCCCCTGGATCCCCCACCTGCTGCCTCCCAGGAAGCTGGAGCTGGGAGTGGAGCCAGAACCTACCTGCTCATCTGAGATGCTGACATGGCATCAGGCATTCTAACCCCTGTGCCAAACGCCATCCCCAGGCTGCTTTGATGAAGGGTCAAGATGGGAAGTCTACCAGCCAGAGCCAGTTGGACACAGTACTAAGCCCTTGTGGTATCAACACCATACCACAAATTGTATAACAAAGCAGAGGGGTTGTATTCTTCTTGTAACTACTCCAAGTTCTCCTTTTAAACCCAACATCTTTTCTGTGTGCACACACTTTGCTGCTGCCACACCCAGTGTGCCCTGGGGGTCCAGTCTTACTGTGCAGGAGGTGCTGACGCGGGGGGGGGGGGGGGGGGGACACGGCTCTCCCTCCTTTCCCGCTCTTTGACTTAATGACAGTGTCCCTGAATGCAGGCCTTGCTTTGCTGCAAGCCAAGGGTGGACTGGCTGCTGCCCTTGGAACAAGGTAGCCAGGACCAGCCAGCTCAGAGGCGGCACTTCCACCCCAGCAGTTCAGCAGACTGGGTGCTCACAACCTCACTGTCCATTCCTGGGATAGCAGACAGCATGAGGCCTCCACTGCACCAGCCTCTGTCTACCTGCCCCCCCCCACCCCCACCGCCGCACCCTGCTTATGTAATGGTACGGAGAAAATAAGGCATTTAAAGTGTCATGGTCTCAAATCAACTAGTTTTTCAAAAAAGAAATTATTGGCCTGGCAAGATATCCTAGAGGCTGAATCCTCGCCATGCATGTGCCAGGATCCCATATGGGCACCAGTTGTAGTCCTGGATGCTCCACTTCCCTTCCAGCCCCCTGCTTGTGGCCCGAGAAAGAAGTAGGACCGCCCAAAGCCTTGGGACCCTGCCCTGTTGTGGGAGACCCAGAGGAAGCTCCTGGCTCCTGGCTTCGGATCGGCTCAGCTCCGGCTGTTGTGGCCACTTGGGGAGTGAACCATTGGACAGGAGATCTTTCTCTGTCTTCGCTTCTCTCTGTATATCTGCCTACCTAGCAGCAACAAATCTTTGTGGAAAAGAAAATTATTTATTTGAAAGGCAGAGAAGGAATCGACCTTCTGTAGGCTAGTTCACTCCTCAAATGGCCGCAGTGGTCAGGGTGGGGAGCCAGGCCAAAGCCAGGAACTTCATTCGGGTTTCCTACAGGTGAGCTATGTGGGCCCGTGTCGTCTGCTGCCTCCCAAGCACGTTGGCGGGGAGCTGGATCAGAAATAGAGCAGCTGGGACTTAAAACTTGTGCTCCCATATGGGCTGCTGGCATCGCAAGTGGAAGCTGAACTTGCAGCACCACATCAGCCCGAGACCAACCCTTCACAGAATCCATGTGTAGGTGATGTGGATGAGCGGATTGTAGGAGCTAGAAAATGTGTCTGAGCAGCAGCAGATCAAACAGGCTACGTGGAACAACACAAGCGGAAAATTACAACTCTTTCCAGTTTTTATTCCTTTTAACATATTAACAAAAGATTGGCCAAAATTTTTAAAAAAATTCTTTGAAAAATATACAGTTTTGTATTATGTACAGAACACTGGGGAACAGGTCCAGGGCCTTACACAGAGGCGGCGCGATGGAACCTGGTGCCCTCTGAGGCCGGGGGCTGGCCTCCCACGCCCACTGCTTCTTGCCACCTGCTCCACAAGCCATCAGGACCTATGAGGCTGGCAGACTGCTGGGCACAAACACCAATGCCTCCTACTTTGTTTCATCTGCTTATTTGCAAATTATACAGTATTTTAAATCTCTACAACTTTATTTCATCCATAGCTAACCATTCTCATTATCCTTAATGATCAAATCTTAAAAATGCAAGGGCACACAGATCTAAAATTCAAATAAGCAAGTGGATATTCGTTGTGTGGGATACATATGGAAACCAGGGAGATATCCTGGTACTTGGTGGTCAATCAATTTCTTAAAGACAAACATCAACTCTTTTGATTCCATTCTCTGAACCAAGATTTTTTTTTTAAGATTTTTTTTTTAAATGACAATAACTGGAATAATCACCTTTTATAAATTAATCAAAAAACCTAAGATTAAAAATTCTAAGTTGCAGTTTTATTTGTATTTTAAAATACATTGGAAATTCTGCATTTGCTCATGATCAAGCTTACTTTCAATGCACTTTACTTGGATTTGGTGACATGGTTTGCCCCACAAGTCCTGCTGGAGCTGAACCCCAAGCCCCCGTGGGTCCCCGGGCCCGCAGCCGAGGCTCTCTAGCGCTCCCTGGCGAACAGTGATGGATGCTGCTCATCTCCCCTTTATGACCTGAACAGTCTTCCGACCATAGTGATAGTAGCTGTACGCTGACGCAGCAGTGGTGAAAGCTGTAAGACACCTGGGGAGGAAGGGGAGAACAAAACTCAGCCGTCAAGTCTGAAAAAACCAGCAGTACCATGAGGGAGACATGTAAAATATCTATTTAAAATAAGAAAGACTCTGGTATAATTTAACGATAAGACTCCTGGGTTTGGTGCAGTAGTACAGCACCCAAACCCTCAGCCTGCAGGACCGTATCCCATATTGGTGCCTGTTGCACTTCCCTTCCAGCTCCCTGCTTGTAGCCTGGGGAAGCCGAAGAGGATGGCTCAGGTCTTTGGACCCAGCACCCGCATGGGAGATCCAGAAGAAGCTCCTGGCTTCAGATTGGCTTAGCTCTGAGCATGGGGGCCATCTGAGGAGTGAACGAACAGATGGAAGATCTCTCTCGGTCTCTCCTTCTCACTGTAACTGTGCTTCCAAATAAAACTAACTTAAAAAAAAAAAGAAAGAATCTAAATAATGTTTAGCTCTAAAAATTAAAAACAACACTAGCAGCTGTCGTTTTAAAAATATATATTTATTTTATTTTTGTTGGAAAGTCAGATACACAGAGAGGAGGAGAGACAGAGAGGAAGATCTCCTGTCCAATGATTCACTCCCTAAGCGGCTGCAATGGCCAGAACTACACTAGCCGAAGCCAGGACCCAGAAGCTTCTTTCGGGTCTCTCACATGGGTGCAGGGTGGCCAAGGCTTTGGGCCATCATCGACTGCTTTCCCAGGCCACAGCAGGGAGCTGGATGGGAAGAGAGGCTGCTGGGATTAGAACCAGCACCCATATGTGATCCCAATGCGTGCTAGGTGAGGACTTTAGCCACTAGGCTATCGCGATGGGCCCTAGCAGCTGCCATTTTTAAAGATACATACATTGTTTGGAAGGCAGATTTTAAAGAGGAGATTAAAAAAAAAAAAAAAAAAAAGAGGGACAGAGAAAGGTGACCCCAGATGGCCACAATAGCCAGACACGAGCAGACGTGAAGCCAGGAGCTGCTTTCCAGGTCTTCTGCGTGGTGCAGGGGCTCAAGGAGGGGGGCATCCTCCCCTGCTTTCCCAGGTCATAAGTAGGCAGGCGGATCAGAAGTGGAGCAGCCGGGACAAGAACTGGTGCTCAGAAGGGAAGCTGGCACTGCAGCAGGCACTTAGTCTGTTCTGTCACTGTGCCAGCCACAGCAGCTACCACCTACACCTGACATTAGTCTAGCTGTATCACATCCTAGGTTTATTCTCACTCCATCCTACTGGTGAGGGAATGGCCACTCTCTCAGTACCTGCTCGGGTCAGCATTATCAGGACTGTGTTAACAGCTGGCTTGCCCTAAAGCGCAGACACAGCCTGCCGTATCAGACTGCACTTCCTGCAGCCTTTGAGAACGCCAAGGCCATCCGAGTCATTTCTGGTGGACCACTAGCCTGACCTGACCTGACCTTGGCATGGCAGAGTGGTGCCCGGGCTGCTGGATGGTTGGGCCGGCAGGAGACTTTTCCTGGAGCCGTGGCTTCTGCCTCCGTTAGGTGAGGTAGAGCCATTAAGACACATTCTTGCTTGATTCCAACTCCATCCACATCCAGCTGACGTTCAAAACTTAACACAAAAACCAATGAAACACTGAATGACTGCTATTATTGAGAACTAAGCAGGATACTTTAGAAAAACTATAAGAACAGTTGATTTTTTAAAAAATTACTGTCAAAACAGGCAAAGATGACTGTAAAAGAACTGGAGAAAAATGGCACAAAGTCAGGTGGGGCCCACACTCAGACCACGGGCATGCTTGAGGTTCTGACATCACCTAGCAGGAAACGGGGTCAGCTCTGTGGTATAGTGGGTAAAGCCGCTGCCTAGGCACCAGTATTCCATAGAGGCGCCAGTTGGAGTCTATTTCCAATCCAGCTCCGTGCTAATGTGGTGGGAAAGCAGAAAATGGCTCAAAGCTTTTAAATGACTCAAAGGCAGCTCCTGGGTCCTGGTTTCTGGTCATTTGGGGAGTAAATTAGCAGACAGAAGACCTGTCTCTCTTAACTCTGCCTTTCAAATAAATAAAAATAAATCTTAGGAAAAAACAAACAAACAAACAAACAAAATGCGGTAGGACTTTAATGCAGAAAGTTAAGCCATCCGGCATGCCGGTATCCCATTATCTGAGTGCCTGGGTTCAAATCCCGGCTCTGCCCGAGGCCAGCTCCCTGCTAATGTGTGTTGTGGGAGGCATCAGTGACACTGAGTCCTTGGTTTCCTGACATCTGGTGGGAGATGTGGACGGGTCCTGGGCTCCTGGCTTCACCCTCGCCCAGCCTGCATTGTGGCCATCACCTGGGAAGTGAACCCAAAGTGAACCCGCAGCTGGAAGATCTCTCTCTCTCTCTCTGCCTTTTAGCCACATAAATAAGCATTGTTAAAAAGGAGACAAGAACCAAGAGCAGAGAGGCTCTAGAATGGATGCGGAATATTCAAGAAAGAAAAAGCTCCCTCTGATGACTGGTAATCAAAAAGCCTTTCTTCTACATCTTAGATGTTGGATGAAGCAGGGTGAATATACACGGACAAAGGCACATCAACTCTCCGAGTTTGAATCGGGCACATTTTCACACCTACAGATAAGCAATTAGCAAAATAACATTCAGATTCCCCTGCAGGTCTCCGTCCCAGCAAGCCGGGCTCACTTCCGTCCATGCCACTCTGTCTGCCAGTGCCCAGGGTCACCTGCCATCTGAGGCCTCCCCTGCTTCCTCAAAAAGTCCACCAATATCTCCAGCCTCAAATGTCCCTGCCTTTTCTTTTTCTTTTTTTAAATTAAGGATTTATTTATCTTTATTGGAAAGGCATATCAGATTTAGAGAGGAGAAGGGACAGGCAGAAAGAGTTGGTTTACTCCCTAATTGGCCGCTACAGTTAGAGTTGAACCAATCTGAAGCCAGGAGCTTCTTCCTGGTGTCCCACACGGGTGCAGGGTCCCAAGGTTTCAGTCATCATCTACTGCTTTCCCAGGCCACCAGCAGGGAGCTGCATGGGAAGCGGAGTAGCCAGGACACAAACTGGTGCCCATATGGAATATGGACACTTGCAAGGCAAGTATTCAGCCAACTGAGCCATTGCACCAGGCCCAGCTTTCCTTCTTTCTAGTTTGAATGTTCTTTTCCTCCCCTGAAACCTCAACATATTATCTGTGCCGTTCATCCGTTTAAGTTCATACAAAATGACTTAGGAATCCTCCACCTGATAGTAAGGAAGCTTCTTAAGAACAGCGTCTGTCCACCACACAGTACAGCCACTTTATCTAGTTGGCACTCAACACGCTCTTTAAGAACATTCCAGGGCCTGGTGTGGCAGCCTGTTGGTTAAAGTCCTCACCTTGCACACACTGGGATACCATACATGCGCAAGTTCCAATCCCAACAGCCCCACTTCCCATCCAGCTCCCTGCTTGTGGCCTGGGAAGGCAGTTGAGGACGGCCCAAAGCTTTGGGACCCTGCACCTGTGTGGGAGACTCGGAGGAAGCTCCTGGCTTTAGATTGGCGTAACTCTAGCCATTGTGGTCACTTGGGGAGTAAATCAGTGGATGGGAGATCTTCCTCTCTGTCTCTCCTCCTCTGTATATCTGACTTTCCAAAAAATAAAAACAAACAAATAAATAAAATTTAAAACAACATGCCCATGTTAGTTAGGACTGCTCCAACAAGCCCTTCTGTGCACATTCTTGGAGCAAGCCTAAAGGGAGCTCACCAAAGCATCTGGAGGTAAACGCTGTCAGCGTAATTGAAAACCGGAGCTGCCAAAGATGCCGCCACCAAGATCAACTGGACCGCTGTGTTTACCTAGGCAAGAAGTCACAGATGAGAGGTCCCGACCAGTGACACCTGGGAACATGTCAGGCTCACCAGACAGGACGCAGCATGACCTTGCAAGGTCACAGCAGACAACAGAACTGAGCCTGCAACTCAGACCCGCAAGGCCCCAGCCAAAGCTCCTTTCACTTCCCCACCTGCCCTGCTGGTCTCTGGGGCCACAGCGCTGCCAAGCATTCACCTCCAGAACAGCCTCTCCGGAAGGAGGGTACTCCACTGCCAAAGACATCACCACGGCAGAAGACCAAACTGGACTGAGCAGGAGAGCCCTGTCCACCTGTGGGACAAGCTCTGGGACAGTCAGTGAGGGGCAGGGCGGGGCAGTGCCCAGGGAAGCGCTGCACGGGCCAAAGAACTGACTTCACTTTTGAAAATTAATTGGCACTTTGTCTGGAATCTTGACTTCCTATACCAAAAGAGGTTTGCTCGAGACATTTGTCCCTGGCACCTCTTCAATCCACTTTCTGTGGCGTGTTAAATTCCAACCCCTCTGGTTATGGAGGTCCCGGTCCAGCCGTGGGAGTCTGCCTCAAGATGACCAGCTTCCCTTCCTTGTCACAGCTGTCACAGAACAGGACAAAAACCTATCAGACCTAGCAGGAAAATACACATGGGATCATCCTTTCTTGCATGCAAATTATGTTACTACTACTACTGCCCTGCAGAAGCTCAGGAGAAAGATCAGAGAGCTGACAGGAGCAGCCGCATATCAGTGGGCAGAAATTCCATGGCTTTCCATTTCAAAGGCAGACCTGCAGGTAAAGGACCTTATTATCTGGCATCTCCACCCTTGGGAGAGAGGAGGCCAGACCACGAGGGGCTTTTAATCGCTCTGCCTCGCACTCAAAAAGCAACTCTATCCCAGCCCGCTTCACCTCCCCCAGCCCTATTCCTCCAGAGACTTAAAAACCATCAAACCACTGTGCTGTACCACAGACCCGAAAAGCTGGGAGGACAAAAGAAACGGATTGAGTGGTTTGCCTGACCCGTTTGCTAAATCCCTCTTAGCCAACTCATCTGTCTCCTTTCCAGCTGCTCTTGGCTGAGGTTTACATTCATCCTAACAAAAGCTCACAGAGGGGTGATTTAAAATGATGTTCTACGTCTCTTACCTTGCTGATGAATGTTGGCTTTAACCTGGCAGTGGCATAGCAAGGATTGAAATACTTAGATAGCGTTCGCTGTCACAGAACACACAAAAATACAGTATTCAATTTGTTGTTCAAGCCCAAAACAAACACTTTATTATCCCACATAGGTAACGACCAATGAGTCCTTACTGTAGGTGTAGCCCTAAGCCGGCTAAACTATTAATATGCATATTTTTTATTCTGCTCTTTGAGCATGGCCCTACCTACATTCTGTATAACTCACACCTAGGCAATCGGAAATCAATTTTATGAATAAAAAAATGAATGAAATATTGGTCTATTTCCAAAGTTATTATGCTATGTGCTCAAATATTTACAGAAGCAATGGAAAAGTAAACGAGGACGCCACTCCAGGCCCACACAACTGTGATTATAAAGAAACGCTTGTGGACAAACCATCAGGGAGATGAACTCGGCACGGCCTGAGCAGAGGTGAACACTCCCAGCCCAGCCTCCCAAAGTGTGCAGATGGCAATGGGGCCAGCTGGTCTGGAGACCGTGCCATCAGCTGCAAACAGACTACGTGACTCAAATAGCAAGACAGCTACTTCTTACAGTCCTGGAATGTAAAATTTAAAGCTGTTCTAAAGTATTCCCATAGGTTGAAACAGCTTAAAACCCTTCAAAAACTTGCCCCAGACCTGGCGCAATAGCATAATGGTTAAGGTCCTTGCCTTGAACCGGCGCCGGGATCCCATATGGGCGCCGGTTCTAATCCCGGCAGCTCCACTTCCCATCCAGCTCCCTGCTTGTGGCCTGGGAAAGCAGTCAAGGACGGCCCAGAGCTTTGGGACCCTGCAACTGTGTGGGAGACCTGGAAGAAGTTCCTGGCTCCTGGTTTCGGATTGGCACAGCACCAGCCATTGCGGCCACTTGGGGAGTGAATCATTAGATGGAAGACCTTCCTTTCTGTCTCTCCACCTCTCTGTATATTGACTTTCCAATAAAATAAATAAATCTTAAAAAACAACAACAACAACAAAAAAAAGACAAGACAAAAAATATCTTCCCCCATCCATAGTCTTAATATGAAGAATTTAATTAGCATAAGTAATTTTTTTTTTTCAAAACAAACTCACCGGTGTTGGAAGAGTTCGATATCTGACATAAAAAACAGCAGCGATCAACATGACATCTCTTGAAATTATCATGTAAGTCAGTGGAACTGAAAATCAAATATAAAAGAACTTTAATGAGGAGTCTGCAAACTACTAACACACATCATGAATACAATAAAGCCTCACTTTGCCTTTTTAGCACAAACTGGTCCTCCCCACAAGGGACATTTTATATTTGACAGTTCTATAGGGTTCCTCATCCAGTCAGTCTCCAGTTTCGGAGTTTTCTAATCTTCCTTAACCTGCCCTGAGGACAGTTTCAGACCCGGGCTGGGAAGGTTCTGTCTGCCTTTCAGATGGCCGATGCCTGGCTTACACTTGTAAGCAGTAACAATCAACGTGGCTCTCCCGCAGGAGCCGTGATCCCTGACCCGGCCCGCAGAATTACATGGAGAGATGGCCCGGCTGGGAACACCTGAGCAGTCTCGGCCCCTCTCGGGCGTCATGGCTGGCTTCTGCCATTTGCTCTCTTACAAGTATAATCCGATACAGGTACAACCTGCAGGGACCCAAATGTGATTCTTCTCCAGGAAACTGCTATTCTTCCTCCTCATCGGTCATTCAGTGAATTCAATTTGTCAGCAGTTTTATGACGAGTTGAGTTATCCCTGGCCCAAAATGCCTAGGACCAGAAGTGTTTCAGTGCCGATTCGAATGACAGCACTGTTCCAGAGAGAATGCTTACACACTCAGGCCACAGCATTCACAGCAAACCCATTAGTCAAGCAAGAAGACAGCAAACCAAGATGTTGAGTATTTCTGCATCTCTAAGCCCAACTTCCTTCAAATCTATCATGATCTGACAAATATTAACAATGACTCCTCAAACGTAGCAAACCCATGCAAATTAAAGTCCAACAACAAGTAAACATAGGGGGGAGGGGAAGATTTCAAAAGTTTTGAAATCCAGGTTTTTCCTAACATGCGTCTCCATGAATTTTCAGGAGACCCTTTGTACTGGCCCCCGGCATAGTACATATTCATCAGAAGCACACATAAAATTAACATTTCTGACAACATACTCGGGCAGAAAGGCTGAAATCAGAGCATGTTATCTAAACCCAAGAATCAAGTTTGAAATCAATATCAAAAGGGATTCCTACAAAATCCCTGCAAATTAACAACTGTTAGAAAATAGTAACCCAATAGATCAAAGAAGCATAATGGAAACAGAAAAATATTTATATGAAAAGGTCTTCAAGAAGCTCCTGGAAAGCTTAACCTCCTGGTTAAGATGCCCACTCCCTGTGTCAGCGCCTGGGTGGGACGCCCTCCTCTGGCACCCAACTCAGGCCTCTGTCCTGGGGGGGCTCTGGGGAGCAGCGGCCGAGCTCCTGGCACTCACACGGAGCCGTGGGTTCGATTCCTGGCTTCCCAGCTGGGAAGTGAACCAGCAGATGGGCGCCCCCTTGTTTGTCTCTTAAGCAATTTTTAAGTTTCATAATTTATATTATAAGTATTAATGGATTTTGCTATTTTTTTCTGCACCAAAATGAATTTATCTTTCAATTCCACCTTCTACAAACTCTCTGAAGTACCTTCATACTAGACAACGACAAAAACACTAGTCTCAACATTTGAGACACAACTAAAGTAGATGCTTTGAGGGAAGTATGTAGCCTTATTCATAAACTTTAGAAAAGAAAATGCAGGTCAAACTCATTTTCCTCTAGCCCTTGACCCTTAGCACCCGAATCAAATATGTAAAAAGTTTCAAAAATAAAATTTATACAATAAAAAAAAAGAAAAGCAATTCTCAAAAAAAAAAAAATTCAACAGTTTTTTTTTTTTCTGTAGAATAACTATTCTGGACAAAGACGATTCTAAAACATACACACCAACGGAAAAAGCTAAAAATACCTGAAGTGGAAGAACTAGTTCTACTGGACATAAAGACCTTTAGCAAAGCAGTGCAAAGACAGACACATGAATATGAAAAAAACTGACACCCCAGAAATGAACCAACATACATAGAACACTGGAATGAGTTTGGAAAACACGTTCTTCTTAATAAAAAAAAAAAAAGTACTAGAATAAAGAGATGTCCATTTCAGCATCAGGAAATGAGTTGTTAAAAAATCAGTGAGGACAAAGTCTTTATTCAGCCTTCCAATACAAAGCACTATCACGATATGGAAAGGAGAAGGTGTTAAAATGGCCCAAGACTCAGACTTCTAAACAGCAAGGCAGAATCTGGAAGTCTATGGAATAGGATTCCATATGCTTTCAAATATCAAAATTCTTAGCGATAAAGGACTCCAACTGAAAAATCACGCCCAGTTCAAGTGCCTGGAGAGCAGCCATGCTAATCATTCAAAGGTCAAGGTAACATTAGTCACAGTACCAAAAGCGTGGACACGACTCCTCTATTCCCACCGGCAAATGAGCAGGCTGGCCTTCATAAAACAACACAACAGGCACAACATAACCACTTGAGTTTTCAATAGTGTCCACAGAATGCACAGTGGGTCTTGTAAATTCTATTCTTTAGAATAGGAGGATCCCCCCTGCTTCTCAACCCCAAGCCACATACATACACATCTCAACAACACTAACTTGCAAAGCAGCAGGTAAGTACAAACAACAGTCAAATTCTTTTTTTATTATTATGTAGTATTAAACTTTGGAAGGAGGAACCGCAGCGCGAGGAGAGCACGCCAGCCTGACGCCTCACGCAGCACCAGAGGACTGTTGAGTCTCTGCGCTCTCGGGGCCTACCTCGAACTTGGAAAAAGAAAACTGAACCTGGATTGAGAACAACCAAATGAGAAACGCAGCTCAGATCCAAAACAGCCAATCAGGAAAGCACATGCAAATTGCAGAAAGGTCATAAGGCTTGGTACTCAGCTAATATACAAACCTACGCAGGACAGGAACTGCATCAGCAGTATCCCATTACTGTGCTTAAACTATTAAAGATAATAACAGACTTAGCAAAACTTGAAATTATTTTAAAAGACCAGGCACTAAAAATACGTGACACAGCATTAAAAAGGGGTTCCTAAAGGAAATGAACTGGCACTATGAAATATCTATTCAATGCTAATCCTAAGAGATAATTGCTGCTTTCATTTTGATTCTATTGACTCTAATGGAATTAGGACATAAATCCCAGAATCATCAAACAGCGTGGTAAACAAAACAGTTCAACAGTTCAACATCAGAGTAACAGTTTAAAGTTGAATATATTTTTGTCTCCCAAGAGAAATCCTAGGCTAATGCCATTCTTCCCTGTGCTAGTTCAAAGTACGCATGACGGCGTTCTTACCTGGGATAAGATCTGCATAGGTCAAGCTAATATATAAGACACTGATAAGTATTTTATCAGCAAGTGGATCAAGAGCACTTCCCAAAGCTGATTTTTGATTGGCCCAGTTTCGAGCAATAAATCCATCCAACTGAAAATAAAAGTGTTTTTTATAAATGTCATAGTCGGAACAGAGTGGATATCTTGACGCTTAAGAGATACCAGAATAACAACTATACTTTGATAGAACACGAATAACATCTCTTCTGGAGCTTAGACCCAAACATTCTCATTCTTTTATTGCTGCACATTTCGTTAAAATCAGTAACCAGTTCTTCAAACATTTTCACATTTTTCTCCTCAGGGTCTTTTGGTTGGTTATTTTTCTGTATTTTCACCAGGTCCCTTTGTGAACGCAGGAGCCCAGCACCAGCCCCGGAGGAGCGCAGTTGGCAGAGCGTGGAGCCGGAGCCCCAGAGCCCTGGGCTAGCACACTCAGCCACCGTGGCCGCCTTCACCCACCGGCACTGCTCCTTCACGGTGGGATTGCTAACCCTTCGTACCCGGCCCACTTTCCCACACCAGGGTCCGATTCTGTATGCATTCACTAGTTTTTTTAATTTATTTTGTGTTAATACCCACTGCTAACTCCGTACGCTGACCTATCCGTATCAGTCTTTGCACCCACCCTAGGTAAAATTCTGACATGTAAATTACTTATCTCACTCGCTTACTGTCATTAGAAATGAATTACCAGAAGGCGGGTCCCACCTGGTAGACAGTGGGTCCAATGGGGCCTACACAATTAGCGCCAACGTCTAAACATTCAGTCTTCTCCCAGACACCCAGATCTCTAGCTGAACTGGACAAACAGAAAGATGTGGGCTGAAACCAGGAACTTCCTTCTGCTATAACCAACAGGATGGACACTGCTGGCTGGCCCCATGTCCCTACCTGGCCTTATTCATTTGATTTAACCTGAAGCTTCAGCAAGTTTTTTTATTTATATTTCTAAGGGGAAAGAGAGGGTACATTCAGATGAAATTAAACATGGCACAACAACATAAAGCATGAAGTTTTCCACATCTCAAGTGAAGGGAGGATCGGTGCCCACGCTGCTCTGCCACCACAGGCTGTGTGACCTCAAGTGGGGCAGACGCCTTAGTTAAACCCGGCTTCTCCCCTGTACCACTGAGTAAACCCTCAGACAAGGCAGTCACTACTACCGCTTACACCCACTCGACCTGCCTCCCTGCGGTAGCCTGCAGTAACGCTGGCCAAGGAGCCGGGGCCTCGGGCCACGCAGGTTCCGCTGGAGCTTCGGATCCCGGGGAACTTCCCCTCCCACTCTCAGTTATTTAACTTATTCTTTAAGATGTATTTATTTTTTATTTTATTAGGGATGCAGATTTCTAGAGAGAAGCAGAGATAGAGAGAAAGATCTTCCATCCGCTGAATCACTCCTCAAATGGCCCCAATGGCTGGAACTAAGTCAATCCCAAGTCAGGGGCCAGGAGCCAGGAGGCCTTCCGGGTCTCCCACGAGGGCGCAGGGTCCCAAGGCTTTGGGCCATCCTCGACTGCTTTCCCAGGCCACAAGCAGGGAGCTGGATGGGAAGTGGAGCAGCTGGGATTGAACCTGCACCCTTATGTGTCGCCCTTACGGCTTTCACACCGGGTTCCCTCCTCCTCCTCTACTCTCTCACTTCCTTCATCCTCTGTCCTAACGAGACCTCTAACCCAAGTTAGATCCCAAGTCTCTCACAATCACCCCTTCACAAACACTGCTAATTCTCCCACAATCTGCTTAAACAAAACTGCCTGTATATTCCAGGCCTGTGCCAAACAGCTGAATACTGCTCAAGAAAAATATCAACGGGCTGGTTTAAATCTGTGACCACAGGGGATGGCATGGTGGCATCGTAAGCTAATCCTCCCCACTGTGGCACCAGCATCCCTAATGGGCACAGGTTCAAGTCCTGGCAGCTCTGCTTCCCGGCAAGCTCCTGCTTGTGGCCTGGGAGAGCCGGGGAGGACGGCTCAAAGCTTCGAGACCCTGTACCCACAGGGAGACCTGGAAGCAGCTCTTGGCTCCTGGTTTGGGATCAGCTCAGGTCTGGCTGCTGTGGCCATTTGGGAAGTGAATCAGTGGGTGGAAGACCTTCTCTTTACTTTCCTTCTCTCTGTAAAATGTGCCTTTCAGAGACAAATGAATAATTTTATTAAAAGAAAAAGTCTAGCTAATGTCCTCACCGTCTCTTTGACACTGCAGCTCTCACCAGGCCTCTCTCTCCTCCCCAGGGTGGCACTCTAACACACTGACAGGTCCTTATTTTCCTTGAGGACAGAAGCGCATTCTCACTTTCCCACCACCAAACGGCACCTCTGCCGGTTCACTCTGCCTTCCCTCCGACATCCCCACCCGCCCCTCTCTCCTGCCTCATCAGCTTCTCCCTGTCCACCTCAGCCCTGGTTATTCAAGTGATTAAGAGGACCTCCCCCCGGCAGATACAAGGATATTTGCAAGAGTCCAAGGAGAAATGGAATTAAAGAATCAAAGGGCCAGGTGTCCAGCTTAACAGTCCAGAAGCCAGTGGAGATACCCACTGAGTTCAACAGCAGCCCTGGCTCCCTGGCTCCAGCTTCCTTCAGTGTAGACATCCCTGATTCCAGCTTCCTGCAGTGTAGACATCCCTGATTCCAGCTTCCTGCAGTGTAGATCCTGGGAAGCTCCTGACTCCAGCTTCCTGCAGTGTAGACCCTGGGAAGCTCCTGACTCCAGCTTCCTGCAGTGTAGACCCTGGGAAGCTCCTGACTCCAGCTTCCTGCAGTGTAGACCCTGGGAAGCTCCCTGACTCCAGCTTCCTGCAGTGTAGACACTGGGAAGCTCCTGACTCCAGCTTCCTGCAGTGTAGACCCTGGGAATGAGCAGGTGAATGCCCAGAACCTGGCTGTGCTCCCAGCTGCTACAGGAATTTGAGCCATAAGCTAGGGAATGAGAGCTCGGCTTGTCGAAACAAAACAAACATAAACAAGTGCAGGTATGTGGCACATCAGTTACCAAAGGCAACATCCCGAAAGCTCTCACTCCACCCTCCAACACCCTGGAAGTAGCTGGCCACGGGCTAGGTCTCCGCCACCTGGATTCAGATCTTGGCTCCTGCCTCCAGTCTCAGCTGGGGTGGGCATCTGGGCAGTGAACCAAGAGAGGTCATTTCTCTCTTTCTCTACTTTTAAAATAAACAATTTTTCTAAAGAAAAATGAAGACAAGTTCATTTTATTGGAAAAAAAAATTCTGAAACCCCTGCATAAGCTTTTCATGATACATATTCATCATGTATCCCTTAATGCCTCAATACATACATTTAAAAATGTTTTCTACCAAAATAAATATATCTTCTAATTCCATTTTTCATGAACTGAAACAGTCCTGCATCTTGAAAACTACCTTCACGTGGTCCCGTTTCTCTACAAAGCCAGGATACCTCCAAGCAATGCTCCTGTGGCCAGCGCCCTCCTCACCGGCTCATGGGTCCACCTCTCCGACTGCTACCCCAGGGATGCTCACACTGAGCAGAGGCCTCACGATGACCGACCTGCGCAGAACTGAGGAACTCCTCTCTCCTCACCTCACTGCCAATCTCCTTCTTTCCCTCCCAACCACTCCCTCCCTGTATCCTTTGCACGAGCGCTCCAGGACTCAGTTCTCCGATCCGTGCCTCTCTCCTGCTACCCTAGCCTAGATGACTTCACCCCAGACTCAGCCTCGAGTCTCTGACCACTCTGAAGCCCGCAGCTCTGCCATGACGACTTCCTCCAGTGTCACACAGCTGTGCTGAACTCTCCCACGAGAGCCCTGTGTGGACAGACACCAGAGTTTGTGGTGTTCACCCCTGAACTCTATCCTGTCCCAAGCGGTGCTCATCACAGAAAATACAGCCCCATCTTCTTGGATTTTGAAGAGAAGAAAAAAGTGGCAGATAGCAGACTAGATTCACCCCGCAGAGTCAGCCCCCCAGCTTCTCGGCACTACCTTCAAGGCATCCCCAAATCGCTCACTTCTCTCCTACTCCAAGCTCCCACCCACTCCTCCGTATCTCTGCTCCTTCTGGCACACATTCCCCATAGCAGCACTGGCTAGCCCTCATCATTACCCTGCTTGAACTGCCATAATAAACAGGCCATCCGCCCAGTGACCGAGCTGCAGCATGAAAACCTCCTTGGAGTCAATGCACAGTTGTGCACCAGGTAAGTCAGGCTTCCACACTCATCATCTTACATAGTTACCAAGCTATTCTTGAGGCCTCTGTCCTATTCAGTGACTGCTGCAGCTTCAGGTGGCAGCTAGGAGGAGAAAAACCAGCATACAGATAAAAAGACGTGACTCCATTAACTCAAACTCATTTTGCTATGTTTAAAAAAAAAAAACCAATCTCATGATCAACGTAATAGTCTTTTGAGGGACTGGGAGAGAAAAGCAGGGAGTACAGAAAAGGAGAAAGACTGCTAGAATGGAGACAGGGTGGCCCACAGGAGCTAAGCTCGGGGGGAAGAGCTTCCGCAAGCACCACCAAACACAATTGCTCTCCCAGGCTGTCCCTCCAAAAGCGTCCTTGATTAACTCCACACTGCTCCCCAAGGTTACTGCCACTGGACAGGTGGGGGGCTATTTCTAGGAACCGAAAAGGAACAGCTGGAATCACCGAGAAAGGAACCATGCAGAGCTCACTTCAAATACATTTGTCTTCATTCCAAGTAAACTTTGAGCAAAATTTGTCAAACATTCATTGGTCTGCGGAGGCACCTGATTGTCACTGCCCATCCGGGGCGCTCCTCTGTCTTACCCTGCTTCCCTCTGTTTTAACAGCATGTATGGTTTTACATACCATTTAAAAGTTCATGTAACAAAATGTAGCCCTCTGCGCCCTCTGTTTCCCAGTTCTTCCCCTCCTGCACAAACGGCAGGCAGGAACTCCTCTCTCCTTTGGCTGCCTTTTGTTGGGCGAGTGCAAGGTGGATGGATGCTACCTGCCCAGCCCGGAGCGCCTCTGCAAGCAGCTAAGTGGACAGGGACCAGCCCCTCAGGGCACCTGAGGCTTCCTGCTGTCCTGAACCTGGGCACCCTGGGCCACATCCTAGCTCCCTCAGTTCCTCTGGGCCACTGCCATCCCTTCCAGCAGGAAAACCTATGCCAGCTGCCGGTCAGAGAATCTCTATTGAGTAAGCATAAGACGCAATCCCTCCTCTGCCCCTACAACCTTTACGTTCCCTGTTAGATCCTAAGAAGAACAGTTCCACGCTGACGACACAGCCTCCGGAAACCAGTACACGGCCTTCACCTTGACAGTATCCTGCCAAGGCAAAGCTGACTACGGCTGCCTGGGCTCTCTCACTAACTAAGGCAGGGGCAGGGACCCTGGGAGCCAGGAAAGGAGCAGACCCAGAGCACACTTACAACTTACCAAATCCGTTAGCCCAGCCAAAGCAAAAACGCCTAGTGCGATATTAAAATCTTCTTCAATGATCAAATAGCCCAAAATAGGAGCCAAGCCAATTCTCGTCATTGACAACATATTTGGGATTGTCCATGGGTTTTCATACTGAAAGACAAAGAACAAAAAATAAATGAAACACCATCAAATCACTGTTTAACTGGAGTTGGCAGAAAATTACATCTTGTCAACCTAACAGGCTAAAAATCACATCAACTTGCTTAACACTTTGAGTTTTGAAATCTGTTCTGCTCCTATGACAGATATCAAACATGCTGCTTTTAGAACTTCCAGAAGGCCACCTGTGAGTAGGCGGTCTAGAAGCCACGCTGGCAACCCCGGGGCCGGCCTGACACACTGAGTCTGTCATCCCCTGTCCCTGTCCGTCACGACAATGTCAAATGCTGTTCATGTCATTGAGAGAGGAGGGGGACACTCAGCTTTAATTCTGCACTAAAAGACTTGCGGGAAGGCAATGGAGACAGAAGTAGAGACTGAGAGATTTGGAAAGAACGAGAACCCTGGTCAACCTGTTCTGAGCGGAGCGCAGGCCTCACGGCTCCAGGGAGACCCCAGGCCCTCCAGCTCGGGCGCCTGGAAGCCGCACTGGGGCCAGGCAGCTGAGGCTGGCAGAAGCACAATGGCTCTAGGACAGCTGCCCAGAGGGACAGTCACCCCTCCTTCTGTGCCAAGCGGACCCAGACTGACCCAGGGTATCCCACCTTCCAAAGGCCCAGCAGAAGACACCTTGTGCGACAATGTGGGATGGGGTCAGAAGCAACTTCAAGAAAACACCCTTCTCTAAAGCCAGGGGTTGTTTTCCAACACTGCCCGGTCCCCCCACGGGACCTGGCGTCCGCAATAACCTTCCTTCTTTCTTCATCACCTCTTTCTTAATCAGCAATCTACACGCCTGAACCTTCACTCTGGTTTTAAGAAGGGGAAGGGGGAGGGCAGAACCCATTTCTAAAGACACCTTTTAAAATCCCACACCACTTGCAGCACAGCCATCCCGCATAGGCCTCAGAGCCCCAGCTTCCTCAGCTTCCAATCCAGCTCCCTGCTAATGTGCCTGGGAGAGCAGCAGCAGACGGCCCAAGTGACCAGATCCCTGTAGGACACGGAAGACTCAAAAGACTAAGAGAAAGCTCCGGCTTCGAACTAGCCCAGCTCAGGCCACTGCAGCTACGTGGGCAGTGCAAACCAGCAGATGAAATGTCTCTCCTTCTCTAAGTTTGCCTTTCAAATAAATAAATAAAGCTTTAAAACAGCACTCCTAAAAACAAACATGCCATGAATTCTCCTGTAAGAAAAGGCATCCCCTAACGACAGTAAACTTGTATTTATAAACAAAACTAACGCGAGCACAACTCAGGTCTTGTTGGCGTCAGGTGGTTGAATATCATCCACTGCAACCCAAAGCAGCCCACCCCCTCACACAAGGAAAACGCTCTTGGAATGCATCCCAATTTCAGCTTCAAAGATCACAGCGCTTCAGAGTCCAGAGAGAAGGACATGTCTGGGGAACAGACTGCCGCATAGAACGTCAGAAAGCGAACCACTACATGGTCCAGCAAGTCACACACACACTGTGGGGAGGGAAGGGAGTCGGGGAGCAGCAAGCGGGAAGGAAGGGCCCCCGGGCAGGATCGCAGCAATAGAGACAACGTTAGAGACAAAGTTGCAACAACCTCCTGGCTCCATATGGTCCCAGCATAGGACTGAAGGCTACTGCCACGGGAAAGGGGGGGTTCTTATCACCACCTCGAGTTATTTCAGCTCAAGTTAGGCACCTCATTCACGTCTAGTTAGGGCATTTGTACAAGTTTCTATATTAGTTAGGAGAGCTAATCTCAGATTACTCAACCAGATAACCTGTGGCATACTCGACCAGCCCCTGCGCGCTTCCGGGAAGACCTCCTAAGCCAGGATGTGGCCACTTCAGCGCCTCCAGCACTCACATGCTGCAGCGGAGACCCCAGCCAGGAGGTGGCCCACCTCAACCCATGCTGGCCAACTCATGAAAACAGTGTCCGGGCTCAGTGCAGACCTAACAATTGAAGATGTAATAATTGCATGAGCCCTGCTCACCCACACTCATGCGCTGTGTCAACAGGTGAGCGGCCAAGCATTTCCCTCCGTTATCTCCTAACCGCCCTTTTGTCCTACAGAGGTAAAACAGCTTTTCACCCCGGCCTAGCCTCCCTAAGTGCCCCCCCCCCCCCGTCCTCTAATCCGTACTGCTGCCGAAGGTCAAAAGAAAACGAACCAAAACTGCACAATCAGGGCACTTTTTCTGAAAATCCCTCCAAAAACTGGGGATTCGCTCCCGAAACATTCAATCAGGCTTTTTCAACAGACCAAGCGGAGGATTATTTATCACTACTGTTTTTGTTTTCACCAATGCAACGTGCAAAAGCCGATAACAGGAGCGGAGTGAGTTTTAACGTGAGCGCCCAAGAGTCCGCCCCCTCCACCCGACACGACGACCTGCCAGCAAGCCGCTTCCGAAGCCCCGAAGCCAGGAGCACCCAGCACGTACCGGGCTGGCGGCGCTCGCCGGACGCCAGCGGCTGCTCGCGGCCTCGGCCGCCTTGCCCGTCCCCGAGCAGTGGCTCCAGCGCGGGCCGAGCGCGCCCGGCCGCGGCCACCAGCGCTCCGCCAGGCAGCCCAGGCAGCAGGCCGAGGGCGGCGGCGGGGCCCCGCGGGCGCGCCCCTGGCTCGGCCGGAGCCCCGGCGCCCAGGCGGCCCGTCCGCGCAGGGCGGCCCACGAGCCGCGCGCCACGACGCGCGAGGCCAGCATGGCCCGGGCCGGCGGAGCTCAGCGGTGCGGGGCGCCGGCCAGCCGCTCCTCCATGCAGTGCGCGCGGCCGCCGAGGGAGCACGCCTTCGCGACGGTTTTGCGACAGCGTCGCAGCCGGGCAGCCCAGCGCCCCTGGCGGCCGGGGACAGCAGGAGAGTCGTGCGGTCCAGGCGGCCGGGGATGGAGGGGAGCGACCCTCCCGGCGCTGCCCTGCCCTGCCCTGCCCTGCCCGGCGGTCCCCGACGCAGCCCACCGCTGACCGCCCCTGCCCTGCCCGACACTCCCCGGCCCGTCCTTCCAGCCGCTGGCCGGCATTGGCATCGCCCTCGGAGGCCCATGCGGCACTCTGCACGTTTCAGTCAAGCTGGTTAGTTGAGCGCTTTCCGTATTTTTAAGCATTGCAAGATGCTCGTGCCAGTCTATTTGGGAGACACAGTTATAAACACTCAGCTCTTCCACCCATTTGTTCACTCTCCAAAAGCCTGGAACACCATCGCTGTTTGCCGTGTAGGTGCAGGGCTTCAAGCACCTGGGCTGTCCTCTGCTGCTGTCCCAGATGCATTAGCAGGGAGCTGCATGGGAAGTGGAGCAGTTCAAGAGGACTTGAACGTAGCATTCATTAACATGATGGCATCACGCATAGCGGCTAGACGCACTATGCCACAACCCTCCCCAAAGCTGATCTTAAAACTTAGTTCAGGGAAAGGGAAAGATTGGTTGAAACTGGATAGTCATAGATCTCAGCACATACTCAAAAAGGGGGATTTATTTTTATTGGAAAGTCAGATTTACAGAGAGGAGAGACAGATCTTCCATTCGCTGGTTCACCCCAAAGCGGCCACAACAGCCAGAGATGAGTCAGTCAATCCTAAGCCAGGAGCCAGGAGCCTCTTCCCCGTCTCCCATGCAGCTGCAGGGTCCCAAAGCTTTGAGCTGTCCTCAACTGCTTTCCCAGGCTACAAGCAGGGAGCTGGAAGGGAAGTAGAACATTCAGGGCACAAACAGGCACCCATGTGGGATCACGGCCTGTGTTGCATCAGCAGTGAACAGGACCTTTCAATAAAGCTCGTGGTACAGACCTAGGCCCCAGGGACCCCGGGAGAAGCAAGGGCAAAGTCAGCCTGAGACAGAGCTTGTATTACAACCCAGTGGGGAGATCCCCTATTTGGCCACTAGTAAAACAGAGGTCGGGGTTTGTGGTTGGAGAATGGGTCATGATTTCCAGACACTGGGGAACTGAATTACAGGGCAGAGATGAGCAACTTGAGTTGTCTAGCCCTTTAATTAGTGGATGCCAAATAAACAAATACTCAGGGGCCAGCCTGTGGCATAGATTAAACCTCACGTGTAATCAACCCCATTTCAGTCCTGGCTGCCCTTCTTTGAATCCAGCTCCCTGCACGTGTGCCCTCGAAGGCAGAAGGTGTGCTTGGGTCCCTGCCACTCGGAGACTCTCTGCTTTGCTCACGTGAGTGCTGTGGTGTGTGTGTGGTGTGGCTGTTCTGGTGCAGTGTTCGGATGGTGGGTGTTCTGGGACAGCTGTGCCATTGTGGGTTTGGTTGGTGTTCTGGCTGTGAATATTCTGGTGTGGGTGTCTGTGGGTGGATAGAGGTGGGGGGCTCCTGGTGAGGCAAGCGCACCCCTGCTTCTCCGGCCTTCTTCCAGTTCTGTGAGCTCACCAACACTGACTCACAGAAGCCCTCATGTTTCATCAGCCAGTTTCCGTTATTTGTTACCATGAGCCTGCAAAAAAAGTTGTAGGCCAAATCAGGCCCTCGACTTATTAAATGGTTTGCTAAAAAAAAAAAGTAATATTTTTTATTCTTGACACGTGAAAATATTATAAAATACAAAGTTTGATATTCAAAAATAAACTTTTATTAGAACACAGCCATCCTGTTTCTGTATTGTCTGAATGCTTACCCAGAGGGCCACGGACACGCAGACTCTGACGTGGCCCTAAAAATACAGCCGCACGTCGTGCCTCACTAAGATAAAATAACTTGTAGTCTTGCAGAAGTTGCAAAGCATTAATATTTGACTATTTCTTCTTAAACTATTGGCATGACTAATCCCATTTTCCTATTATAGCCTTTTTCAGGACAGATATAAATAGACTCTCATTTTTACATGTTCTTCATTAGTAAGAAGGCACGAGTTGGCTGGGGAGCTGGGAGACTGACTCGATGAAAGGCTACATGGTCTGAAGCTGGTAAACCTTTGGGCCTTTTTTCAAGAGATAGCCCTGGTCATTTAGTGATCCAACAAAGTTTTCAAAATCAGCAACCTGAAGGAAAAGATCAAAGGGTCAACAGTTAGCAATATTCCAAAACAATCCTTTTTGAAACTTATTTGTCAAGCAGTAATATATAAATGGCAAGTTTCCTGAGGAAATGAAACAACTGTATGTCTACCAAACTGCCTATATTTGAGCTCTGAATTCTACAGTACTAAAATAAATAAGGTTAAATATATTTTTTTAAATTCATTTTTATTGAAAATACAGATTTTACAGAGAGAAGGAGAGATAGAGAAAGATCTTTCATTCGCCGATTTACTCCACAAGTAGCTGAGCCGATCCAAAGCCAGGAGCCAGGAGCCTCCTCTAGGTCTCGCACGCAGGAGATGAACCAGAGTCCATATGGGATCAGGGTGCTTGCCGGGTAAGGATCTTAGCCACTGACCCGAGCCCAATTAATTAATTAATTATCTTAAAAAATATATTTTATGAGCCCAGCACGGTAGCCTAGTAGCTAAAATCTTCACCTTGCATCTGCTGGGATCCTATATGGGCACTGATTCTTATCCTAGCTCTTCTACTCCCATCCAGCTCCTGGTTTGTGGCCTGGAAAAGCAGTCAAGGATGGCCCAAGGCCTTGGGACCCTGCACCTGCGTGGGAGACCTAGAAGAAGCTCCCACTTTTAGATAAGCTTAGCTCCTGACGCTGCAGCCACTTGAGGAGTGAAGCAGTGGAGGGGAGATCTTTCTGTCTCTCCTTTTCTCTATAAATATGACTTTCCAATAAAAATTTTTTCTTTTTTTTTTTAATTTTAGCTTAGCTTAAAAACAGAGTAGGGGCCCAGCACAATAGCTTTCTTTCTGTCTCTCTTCATAAAAATCTGATTTGCTTAACCAATAAAAATAAATAAGTCTTTAAAAAAAAATGAGGGCAAACCTCTGAGGAGAGGTTAGCTGTGCACATCAGGCTTCATGAAGTAACTGTTAAGCATACCTGAATGTTGAGCTCTTTGGCAATCTGCCGGAGTTGACATAACTGAAATAAGTTATTGTAGGTTCTTTCAGCAATACTGTTGAGAGCGGAAATGAACCTTCTTGCTGTTGACCTGTTGCTCATTCCAGAACCATGCTGGGATCGCTCAAAGTCTAGATTCCCAAACTCATCGGAGTAAGTTCCCAGCATGCTGAAAGGGAAAGGCGAGAGTTACTCGACACGCACAGCAGTAGACACTGTTCCAGGTTTCCGGGGTTTTAGAAGTTGGAGGTAGCCATGAATGTTACTTAGCAAGTAATTAAGTTTATTGAGTGGCCACTCTGAAATTCACTATGTTACGGGTTATTTGGGGATCAAAATATGGACAGTTGCCATTTTTATGAAACACGAAATTTACAAAGAGAAATGCACAACAACACACAATTCATCTGATCCTGCTTTGGATTTGAAGACAAACGTGGAGCACGTGAGCCACCTGCTGGGAACAGAGAAGCCCGCAGTGCTTCCCGGTTGGGGCTGGCTCTGTGCTCCTCTTCAGGGCAAAGCCTGCAGGACAGCTTCCTAAGTGGAAACATTCACATTTTGAACAACAATGGATAGCTATGTGCCAGGCTATAGCTATGCTACAACTCATATTTTTCTTGTTTAGCCTTCTGCTTCCTAGTTAAAACATAGCTTTATAGTTGAAAACCACATTAAGAGCAAATACTCAATGAAACTGAAGTGATGGAAACTCTGTAACGAAGAGCTGCTGAATGAATGAACAGTGATGACAAGGTCAACTTCAAGGTCAACTTCCGCATCAGCACATGTGCTTCCTGAGGTATGGGCATGCTGGGAGGGAGTCTGGGCCCTGAGCATGCACTGGTCAGGAGGCAGGAAGCTCCTTGCTCTCACAGGCTAAGGACAGCAGCCATGGTCAGTATAACGCACAGCTAATCCCATAATCTAACCACACTGTGTCTTACTGGGTCTTCATTTCTCCTATGGAAATGATGCCAGGTCGTTTCAATCCTTTGTAGTCAAACTATTCGTGTTTTTCCTGAAATGCTCATAAAAGCCGACACACTGACTGAAGACAGTTCCAGGGAAGGAGCTGGTAATCTGAGACAAGCGCCATCTGCATTGCTCATGAGACACCTTTGGAGGGATGCTCAGACACTCGGGGCAGCTTTGAGAAGCAGCAGAAATGAGCGGTCCCAACAGGAAACACCTGAGAGCTGCTTTGGGGGAAAAGCCACATGCTTCACACAGCAATCGTTATGAGAAAAATAACTGAGGTAACAGACTTCAGAAGATCGTTCGGTTGACCTGATTCTGCAATCTGAATCGAGAAGTAACAGGTACTCAGAGCAGCGAGCACTCCAGCCTCACCTGTATTTCATGATCTCAACTATGTCCTCAGCATCTTCCTTGGTTGCTTCCTCTCTCAGTTCCAACCTTGCTCGTGCCTTTGAAAGGAGACAACCACTTTCAGATCATACAAGACACATTTATTCCCAAGCTTATTTTATTTATTCACTTTATATAAAAACTGACTTTTAGTGGAGGGAGTTTGCAGTATCAAAAGTCAAAATTGGGAAATAAGTATAAAAAGAATGACTCACTTAAAATATGGTTGGGGAAGGGGCTCCTGCATAGTAGGTAAAGCCTTAGCCTGGGTCACCAACATCCCATATGGGCCCCAGTTTGAATCCTGGCTGCTCCACTTCTGACCCTGCGTATGGTCTTAGGAGGCAGCAAAGATGGTCCAAACCCTCAGGCCTC